GTACACAGGACAGAGTTTTAATGATGAACCACAGAAGTTTTAAGGCAATGCACAAATACCTGAAGAGAAACACACAGGTGCTATTCAGAGGATGCAGTTCACATGCCTTCGCTTCTCTCCTGCTCTCTATGTTCACATAGACTACCTTGCTGCGAGGTAACAGTGCTAACCACTGAGCCACCTTGCGGCTCTCCTTTGCCTACATGAACAGCCATATTTACCTCCAAACAAGTTACATTAAAGTTTAGCAAACAAACTGTTGATGCGTCGTTACACTGTGCAGCTTTAATTAAATACTGATTCAATAGTTGAAGTCTCTAAAGCAACATCTGGATAAGCCAGAGTTGTTTAGAGATCATGAGAACATGCTAACTCAGAAAGATCCTGGGTGTTGTCATCGGGACACGAACCGGTGACCTTCTTGCCGCGAGGCAACACTGCTAACCACCGATCCACCTTGCAGCCCTGGATTACAACTTGAGTTGCAAAAAAAAAAGACCAAATGATGTTGGACCAAATTTGTGAAGCTGTGTTTTTTTTAAAAAATATGTTGTGATGCTGGTAAATATCAAGAGTTACTGCAATAGAAAGAAAGCTGCATTTGGACTTGCTTGTTTTGGGTCTGCTGAGGTAAACATGTTGAATTAGTATTTTGTAACCTAACTGGCTGCACTTTGACAAAACATAAGACAACAATAAGACCTTCATAATCTCAAAGTTAGCACAGATTGACTTTTCTGGTTAACTCCACCTGTCTTTACTGTGTGAGATGGGTGCACCGTTAGACCCTTTTCTCACGGCACATTGAAAGTGTACATTTGATGTAAATTTCTTCACCCAAGTCCATGAGGGTCCACACAGAGACCTCTGCACATGTCCACGTTGGCCAAAGTTTGTGACCACACAGACTGTCCACACTGCAACCAAACCAACTGCACATGCACAACAAAGCAACTTGTCTTTGATCTCTTTTCAATCAATGATTGTTCCCTTCTTGGTAACACAAAAGTCCTTAAAATCCTTCTGGTAATACTTTCACCTCTTCTTTAGACTCCTTTCTGGAGATTATGAGATGTGTTGAGTGGCTCGTCTGCTGTGCTGGTACTCATATTGAATCTTTACTTGGAAAAAAATCAGTAAAGTGTGAGGGGAATGGTCCCCATCCCTGCTAAGTGTTGGGATATTGTGTGTTCCTTGCCGTTAGGATGTGTGAGTGTGGTGTATTTGAGAAGCGCCAAAGGCTTTTGGCATATTAGATATGCCAATATCTAATTATATTAGATATGCTTTTATTGCATTTTGCATGGGTATCCAAAAGACCTAAATGTAATGGAGCCTAATTTAATGCTATTCATGTTTCATTTATTCCAATTACCCACTGATCATGTCAATTAACTCATTTACATTTTGAATAAGAAGTTGTTACAAACCACAACAAACAGCCAAATGGAAAATAAAACTGGTCAGAATTTTTTTTATATTAATTAACACAAATGTTCAACACACATCTGATCCCTTTCATTAAAAAAAATAAAAATAAAAAATGAAGAAGCGTAATTTCTGTAAAATACTACAAAGAGAGAAGCACCAATACATCCTGGTCTATACTTTGTGGCAATAAAATATGATCTCAGAAATCTTGTGAAGTTTTGTTTTAATATTTTTTTCCCCCAGAGTGCTGCGTGAATTTCCAGTCGAAACAAGAAATCCTTCGTGACCTTAGTCGTCTACATTTACATTAAGGAGTGCTGGTATTGGGAATGATGCAGTCCAAAGGAGAAGCTTGGAGCTTTTGCTCTTGTGACAGTTACCTAAGAAGAAAACAACGTTAGTGAATGTGAAAAATTTAGGATCTTTCCAATCAAATAAGACAAACTGAGATTTCTTACCTTCTCAGGATAGTGTGCTCCGGGTCCTGGTTTCTTTGAGCTTTCACCAGGAACAAAGTTGCGGCCTTTCATGCTGTACTCTGGAGGTTTCTGGCGGTAAATAGAGGGATCCACAACTTTGTAGGAAGCAGGGCCAGGAGTCTAGAGAGGGAGAAATGTATCAAGAGCAACAGCAAATTGGGATGTCTCATTTCTGAATGTTTTTAGTGACTGTTTGTTTGGACCTTTTTCAGGTCTTCGTGGAAGCTTCCAGTGTTGCTGCGGCCATAGAGGGAGTAGGAGGGAGCTGAAGACGCCGCCCCAGATTTGTGCCCCAGAATTGGGGGCAGATTGTAGGTGGCTGGACCTGCAATATGAACAACAGATAAAGTTTACATAGTTTGTGCAGAGAGACTTTGTAATTCACAGCATGAATAAAGCTGACAGTAAATGTGACCTGGTGTTTGGGTGTTGTAGCCTTCTTTGGTCCTCCCAGATAGAGAATAAGATGGAGCAGAGCGGAAGATCAACTTTCCTGAACGTTCTGGGGAATATTGGCCTGAAACAACAACAGGAAGGTAAACTGTTTGTGTTTGAGATCAGCAGTATTTCATTTTGTTGTGGGTTTACAAAATCAGTCTTGATGTGTTGGGGGTTTTGCTGACCTGGTCCAGGAACCTTGGAAAATTCTGTCTCCTTCGGGCGGCTGCGGAGTGAAAACGCTGGAGTGCCCTCTGCGCCTTCCCTGGTGATGTTGGAGGGGATTAGGTATCTTGGTCCAGGAGAGCAGTTAGTTTTGGCCTCCTTTGGACGCGTCCCAAAGCTGAACATTGGTGCTTTGTAATGAGTAGGGTCGTGTATGGAACTGCCTTTATCAAGGAGCAAAGACAAACCATGACTTAGCATTATAGCAATAATAATAACACTGGTGCTGGTGGTGAAAAATGACCAATTTTAGCTCTACCTGTGAGTCCAGGCAGTGCATACTTTGGCCCGGGGCTACTATAGAGTGCAGCGATAGGCCCTCTTGGCTTGTGGGGCCTCCAGGTCCCAACCCAAGGTTCCTCAGTTGTTGTTGTTACCTTGAGAGAAAGACATGCATTACCTTTTAAGTCATAAAAAAACCCCACAGAAGCACAAAAGTTACAAAAGCAATGCACCAGATGGTTTGTTGCACACAATCATCTTCAAAGTCATCCTTGTAAACTGGAAAAGGTCAGACACATGCAAAAAACCCTTGGCAGGTGATTACAAGAACCACTGCTTAACACAAGGTAACTAGCATCAAAAACATGCCTGTAGCTGCCAGTAGTTCCTGATTGTGCTGACCCACGCAATCGCATACCTTAAAGCCCAGCGAGATGGATTCTCTTGTGACCTTGCAAGGTAACTCAAGTGTATGATTAAATAAAATACAGTATAAAAGCACTTTGGCACACTTCACTTATCATGATGCCTTTACTTTCTAAGTATTTGACTCTCATTAGAAACTACTTGGTAAGTATACCAGAAGATAAAGTGCCCCCCAGTCCACTGCAGCATAGTTTCAGTGCCACATTTGCCTAGGCCTTGCAGCGACGTGGACTTTTTTAGCATCTTGTTGGCTGTGACTCCGGCAGCAGGTTGGGTCATCCCTTAAGGTTTGATCCCCAGTCCAGACAATCCTAGGGGGAGCTTGAGTATTCTTTCTGTTTTTCTTAGCTAGCTAGCTAGTCAGCATGTCAGTACAGCACCCAAAGACATGGTTATGTTTAGGGTTTGTCAAACGGTAATTGACCAATTTTGGATAAAATGACA